TTTTTGAAGCGAGTAATGAGCGTAGTTCTATACGATCTTTTAAGATTTCTAGTGAGCATACGTTTGCAAGAAGCGAGCTGTAAAGCCATTTTTGCTGCTATGCTTTGCTGCGCTCACAAAACCTTTTTCTTTTCGCGCTATGTGCTGCTTGGTATTGACCACCAGAGTGAGTTCGCCCAAGCCCCACAAAGTACTTGTCAATTAGCCACAAGTTAATCCAGAACTTGAGTGAGTTAAACCGACCTGAGTTCGAAGTGAAGTCGATGCACCATTTACGAAATATACGACCCTTTTGCTTGACCCAAAATTGACCGGACCAAAGCCTATAGAGTTGCTCTTGCCACGCGGATTGTACCGACACGATGCGACCTCAAACTTGGGTAATTAAACCTTTACTAAGCCAAAACAACAAATAAACATGAACAAATACATGGAGAAACTCATTCCCAAAGTTGGAGGTCAAAAACCTCCAAATCTTCCCAATTTGGACTAATCCCAGCAACTAGAAAATACAATCAATCAGAGAATACTCAATCGCCCAAAAGAGAGTTTTTGCCACCCTCAAAATCTTCCCTTTTTGCCTATTCCCCCAGCTAGAAGAGAAAAAACTGGAGCACGCTCTCCATCAATCGCCCGAGTTTATATAGTGGCTTGATCTACGTTCCACGCATTCCAACTTAGAAAGCCTCTTGTGAAAATGCCGCCGGATCGCTGAATTACGTGCACACTGAAAAAAATTGCATAATGGATCGTCCATTAACGCATTCTTACTTTGCAAGCCTTCTGGGAAAGTGAACTATGACCCGGCGAAGACGTGCAAAACAGAAGCGGATATATGTAATCTCACTGACCATGAATCATCACACTTGCATAAATAGGTCGCTCTTTGCGACATTGAAAGTGATTGCAGCTGATAAAGGTTGATAAAGGGCGTCACGTCAGAATGCAAAAGTCGTTAATCCCGTTACCCAGCTTGCGTGACACTAGAGCGTCGATTCTTACAAGTATTATAAGGGGTGGGACGGGGACATTGTTGGTGGGTGATTTAAAGGGTTAAATTTTGATAAGGGCTGATAAGGGGCGTCAGAGATGCAAAATGTCGTCAATTCCGTTACCCAGCTTGCATGCACTAGGCCCCCTATTACAGTATTCTAAGGGGTGCGGACGGCCGACATTGCTGTGTCGGGTGATTGCAAGGGATAAAACTCTGTAGGGCGTGATAAGGATGCGGTCCGAACGCAAAATGCGTCCGTTCCGTTAGATAGCTGCAGGCTGACATGAGCAGTCCATTTCAAATTCTATTTGGTACGTGCACACTGTATCATTGTATGACCAGCCTTACTTAATAGCAGTCTATTGCATAAACTCAATCAAGTCTTCAGCAAATGATAACTTTCATTTATAAGAAAGCCCAAACTCATTAAACCGCTAATCCTTTCGGGGTTCTAAATAATGGTGAATGTAAATAAATGATAAGCCTTAGCTCCTCACTTATGTAAATAGGCATATTTCATTTTAATTTTGAGACTGACAGCAATCCTATTCACCGCTAAATTATCTGAATTCAAGAAGAATGCTGGATGTTTACAGTTGTGAGATAATTATGCCAGTTCAGCTCCAGACGTTATCACGCGTATTCTCGATGGACTTCAGCGAAACTGGGAAAGGTCTAACACATTCAATAGTGAGGTGGTTAATGGAGGGCCTCATGCTGATATTCCATGGGTCTTTCAGTTTCACTAAAGCCTGCCGTGTGATGCGCGCGATAGCGTGGAGCAAACTGGGCAGTAAGATCGGATATGTCTGCCGAATTATATGTCATACTCAACATGATTCGGTGACTGCTTGGTGGCGCCACGTTGTCTTGTTGGAAAAAAGTTCTCCTTCTTCGGAACGTGCCAGAAAAGGTAGAAGATGACGACGTAGCACGTCCTGGTAGTCCGACGAGTCCATATGAGTGAAGGCGAAGGGCGACCTCAAGCTTCCAGTTCCAATGGAATCGTACCAAACTATACACTGCCTCAGCCAGACATCACGCTATGAAGACTTCAGTTCCTGCGCGAGAATCTCCAACAACGTAATTTCCATCTACCCAATCAAGTAGATACTATTTTATCATCAGAAAATAGGACCTGAATAGGAATTTCAACTCAGAGAGCTTCATGAGGAGGACGTGTATCTTCGATTAATTTGTTGCCATTTTCTTTCTGACAAACTGTTGCCGGGCCTCTCGTAGGCGTCGGTAAGTGGAAGAGCTGGGCGGAGACGACACCTAACTATGTTGTTGTTGCGCTTGATTGCCCTACATGTCGTCATTCTGGACAATGGACCCGGTAAGGTGGCTCGAACTCAACTGTTGCTGATAGTCGAGTTGGAATAGAGGCGTCTAATCGCACGTTCCTGCTGTGGAGTTAGCTTCTTCGTCCTTCCAAAACTCTTTTTTTTCTTTGTCCGCAGTATCCTGGGTCATGGTTTAGGAAATCGCGTCGATGACATTATGAACGAGCACCTTATTCAAGTATTTCGACAATTGAGTTAGGTATCTGCTGCGGCCATACCTGACTACTCGGTTCCTAAAGAATGCGAACCTCGTGGCATTCTTCGATATTGTGCAGAGTTCTCATCCCTACTTATTTCTTTGCTGGAATGGAAAGTGTTCATTGTAGCCTATTATTTAACATTAAAGGAATCTTGCGCGGAAAATTCTTGCACTCTTTCCTAACATGAATATGTCAGTTGTGATCACTGGAAATAGCACACAAAGTTTCACGCATGAAGATTCGGTTTCTGAAGAGAAACAAACGTACAAAAACTACTCTCTATGTGTGGGTGTGCCCATCAGAACCGTACGATCGTATAACAAGTCCGATAACAAATAGCGAGTTCCTAGGCGCAACAGTTTCTCTTTAGTGACCATGGCATTACGCAAATAGGCGCCGACTTGAATAACTTGATGTACGGGGATGTCGCTGAAACTTCCATACTGACACACATGATTCCACTGCAATGTTAGCGTTGCGGCCACATCAATCTGTTGATGGAAAGCTTGCAGAACATTCATTAGGTCCGTTTCCAATTGATCTTCCGTGGGGTATCCGTTCCCATATAAGAGCGCCATAGGAGTCATATCTCCTTCTGCTTCCGAAGTCATGCTAAAAACAAATTTATTCAAAATTGTCCTTGATCTATCTCTACAGAGGATTAACTTGCTGCCTTGACTAAATCTATCTTTCCTATTCTGTATAGAGTTGAACCTCTTAGAGGATTTTTCGATCAACCTTTTTCTCAACCCGCAAGCCGTATCTCCATGGGTAGCATAACACGGCACGAAAAAATTGACCCAACCTCCTTGCTGTTGAGCGTATGGCTAGCCATAGGCACCGCAATCCACAAGTGGAGATGTAAAGGTATGTGCTCGCTAGTAATGCGCACAGGAGGCCGACTGATAATAGCAATGTTTTGTACCATTGCCAAAATACGCCAGCGATGTGGAGAAAATCTGGCCAATGAAAATCTGAGATTTCTCTACTGTCTCCCTTAACCCATAGGTTCAACAATGCGTGAACAGTGTGTGTGAATTGTAGAACCCCAGTCACTTCGAAATTTGAGGGTCTCCTTCCGCAGGATACGGAACACTTGAGATGTATTTTTGCGTTGCTCATGCTAAAGCGCAGGGTTGATGCTTTTCCTCTGTTATCGCATGGAATTGTGAAACTGAACTGCTCGCATGTCACCTCAGCTTGAGTAGGACCTGCTGAAGTGCAAGTAACTTGCGCCCGCGCTCCTTTTGCGCAATTATAACACCCTATTATGGTGGTATCCTGTACGGTGCACAACATCTCCTGCACCGAAAGCCTTGTTTGCAGTTGATCTTGTATGTTAAGGATGATCTCTGCTGTAGTCATTGTTGACACAAGGGCTTGCAATTCCTTGTTGTTTCTTCTGAAACTCAGAGCAGGGAGTATTATGGGCAAATGATTTTCTACCTTCTGGAACCACTCTGAAATATTGACATTTTTGCACCTACAATTGGCTTTTGTCTCAGCCGGATAGCAAGCGCAATCTTCCACTACATCACATGAGAGGTCCTGGGCTGCCACTTCGCTGTCGCACTGCAGAGGTGGGATCGTACTAGGATTCCATAATGCCATACTTGTACCATCCGAAATGAATCGTGTGCTTAAAAGTGGTATTGGCGGTATAGTAACTGAACTCAATGTAAGCGTAATGGCGTCCAATTTGATGGGTATGTTTGGTTTCACGTCTACAACAAAAGAGTTCGTCCGCTGTCTAGAGGCATCGATATGAGTTACCTTGATCTTTGCTGACTCTCTCCAGCGAATGCATCTGAAGATTTCATACACTTTCGAGGATGAAGGTTTAAGATAAATCCGATAAAATAAGCAACCTGAGCTCCAATAAAAGCAGTCACATCCTGGACCGCCGCATGATTCCACACAAGCGGTGATCCCTGGGTATTGATTACCTTCTTGCAGCTCTGGAATCAGACTTGAACTGTTAATGCGTGCGCATTTTTTCCCAACACATGATCCTGTGTGCGGACATCGCTTACTGTCAATGACGTGGAATACCGTATCTCGCGTGAATAGTTCCGTTTCGCGCTCACATATCAAGCGCAGATTCATCCAAGAAACGCGAATTCGATGGACCGCTGTTCCATTGCGCATAAGCTCTAAACACGCTTCCCTTTTAAACGGGTTAATTTTCAATACCTCAGACAACTGAATCGCACAGCCCTGCTTCCCTTGGCTTTCCCTGCAGACCTCGGATTGGTGAGGGAATACGTTCACGAGCTGACAACATTCTATTGTTGGTGTTATTATTAGCCCAAGTATCGCTAATAACAGTGATATGTCCGTTTTCCCTTTTCCAGCCCAGCCGTCTCCTTTCCGGTTGAATAGTCTGATGAATCCTTTGATGATACCTCGTACTATACTGATTAGCCCACATGACAAAATGCGGAAGGGGCGTCCCATTATGACTGGTACATAAAGGAAGACATAACAACCTGTTATGAGGAAATAACTCATCAGTGTGGCTACCATGATTGCTCCCATCGGCCAACAATCTGGGTTGAAGAGTAGAGCAGCGCAAAAGGTGCAGTCTACGTTTTCACAAAATGGTGCAGGTGGGCATATAGTTTCTATAACCGTGATTGATGAGCCTTGAAGGAATTTCCACTGAACCGTGTGTTCTTGCAAGGCGACAGCTGCGGGAAACTTGACCTTTTCTTCCACCCGAGGATTCCAAATAGCTGTGCAAAAATCTTCTGCACAAACTTCGTAGGGAACTTGGTCTGGAGAAAAAAGTTCAACTCCACCTTGTAAACATCGAACAAAATGCGTGCTTGAGTTAGGAAAGTGAGTGGTGTCTTTATCCGCAGCCACATTACTACTTACCATCGATAGCGCCACCATAGTAGTAATCATAAGCGAGCCAACATACGAGTGTGATACGTCTGCTTCTCTGTAATTGACCGGTCTCCGAGGTCTGAAATGATAACGTGACTCACTAGCTTCGGAACGCTCCGCAAGGGTTGTGTTCTCCGCATCGTTTCGCTCCGTTGGTGTCACCGCAGGGTCTTCATCCAGTTCTAGCGGAGTCAGTAGGTTCACAGGACGTCGTATCCGCCTATGTGAGGGAAGTCTTACGATTGCTTCTCTAACTACTCCTTCAGCGTTTTGCTTTAATTCCTCTATCCTTCCCATTCTCCAGACATGTCGTGGCTGCATCGGGTCGTTAACGAGAACTAACTTGTCTACTTCAGGAACATAGCTTGATCCTCGTTGTTTGACTGCTTGACGTTGATGCGTTTCCCTTAGCGAAGTTAGATACTGTGTCTTCCATAAATCCCAAAATTTTTCTGTTAACTCGCATGAACTTTGCTGCGACTTGATCACCTCCAGTTTCGTACGCAGTATGTGCTGTTCTTCGGGCGTCATGTATGTAGGATCTTCATTTTCTTCCTTTGATAGGTCCATTGGAATCGGGCATTCAAATTCATTCTGAACAAAATCAATTGGTCTCAGCACCTGCTCGATATTTCCACCGGACTCAACATATGTAAGGGGCCTCGTGTTCAACAACGCTTCTATTTCGATGATCGCTGTCAATAATTCTTCGTAAGGCAATACGGTTTTCCCAAGCGTTTTGAAAAGTGCCAACTTTACAGACTTGATGAGACGTTCATATACTCCCCCTTGCCATGGTGCGTAAGGAGTGATGTATTTCCATTCGATTTCTCTTATACTAATTTCTTTTGATAGGGTTTCGTCCTTTTTCGCTTTTTCGTGAAGGTCCGACAAAATGGATTCGCCCAAAGTAAAGGTAGGGGCATTGTCACATGTTATTGTCTGGGGTGTACCTCTCCTTGAGAAAAACCGCCGTAGCATCCTGAGGAATGCTGCTGTAGACATGTCCTTTACGATGTCGAGGTGTACCAGTCTTGTCACCAGGCAAGTGATAATGCAGCCGTACCCCTTTTCAAGTTCTCCGTTAGCCCCCGCCACTTGAAGGGGACCAAAGTAATCAAGTCCTACATGGGCGAAGGGTCTGCATCTCTGCACCCGTCGCGTCGGTAAATTACCTTGCTCTGGGTACTTGAAAGGCAGGTTATTATACTTCTGACATGTAAGGCAGCGACGTAACACCTTTGTGACTTGCGCGCGCAATTTGGGAATCCAGTATCGTTCGCGCACTTTCGACATTGTGTGGCTTACACCAGGATGGTTTCTCATGTGACAGTCATCAATTATTTTCCTTGAAAGCCATGTATTCTGGAGAACTAACATGGGATATTTTGCTGGCTCATCTAAACAACTCTTCCCCATTCTGCCAAAGCATCGTAAAACTCCATAGTGATCTAGTTGCACATTTAAGTTATCTAACGCTTTGACTATATCTTGCGTAATGTGTGAAAGCTGGTGTTGCTTAACGATGAGCATTCTTGCAGCTGCAATCTCGCTGCCCCTTAAAGTCACTTGGCTTACCGGGGCAAGTTCACAGAATATGACCGAGAGCTTCATAGGGGTTCTGTGTCGTTGGCTTACGCGCATTGCTAGAATCCTGATAAAGCGAATCACACGTGCAACGATTCTTTTGATTACATTGAAGGGGAACCTCTGTAACTTGGAAAAAATATCTTCTTTTCTATGTTCAGCCCTCACTATCGCATAGGTACCTCGCTCGTTGATCGCGGGGTTTTCTTCTCTATTGTTCTCCGCTTCCGACGCAAAAGAGTACCACTTGATCTCGTTACTTGTTAGCGATGAGGGTCCAGACCACCAAAAGTGCTCCGCCAGAGTGATCTTATCCAAACCTCTTGTTGCACAATCAGCTGGATTTGAGGTCGAAACGATGTGACCTATTTTGAGCTTGTACCCGTTTCCCCTGAGGTGTTTGACAATTCGATGGATTTCCAGCACTCGGTTTTTTACAAAAGGGCCTACGTCATGGCGCAATTTTGTTGTCACCCAACTAAGCGCGATTTCTGAATCCGAAAATACCGATACTAGCTCTATGTGAATCGTGGATCCGATCTGGTCTAAGACAGAGTTGGTGAGTCGCATCGCCAGTGTCATTGCATTAAGTTCCATTTTAGGCATTGTTGACTTGACTTTAAGCGCTGGCAGTTTCGTCTTTGCCATAAGTAGGTGACATGCCCCCTCCGCTTGCAAATAAGCGCAAGCGGCTATCGCCTCGGTGCTTGCATCAGCAAAGACAAGTAGCGCTGCCTTTGACGACTTCTTGACCAAAAAGCGAGGGATTGTAATTCGAAACCCATCTATATCGGCGCGAATACCATTCCACTCCTCTTCTTTCTGTTGATTGAGTTTCGTATCCCATTCATACTGGGCCTTCCATAAGGACTGCAAAAACCGTTTAGCCCTGTGCATCAAAGGTGATAGCCAGCCCATTGGATCGTATATTGACGCCACAGCACTAGCCACAGCCCGCTTTGTGAGTTTACCGGTATGTGCAATGTTTATATGGCAGGAGATCTCAAACTTGTCGTCCACAGGCTTCCACCTAATTCCTAGGACCTTGGGAGTCTCGTCTACCGATTTATCAAGGTCGTTCATTGCTTTTGCCACCGCGGAATCGTTCGTAACAAATTCTCGTAGGTTCATCTGCAGGTCATTGAAAATTTCCTTAGTCCTCTTATAGGCTGAAATAGCTTCCAGTGCTGTATCCGTAGTTAGGAGAAGATTATCTACATAAAGATTCTCCTTAATTTGCGAAACTAGAGCGATGTCATTACTATATTGATCTAGGTGGTAATGAGTAGTTGCAGCCAGAAGAAAAGGGGATGGGAGAAGACCGAAAGTTATGCGAGTGAATCTGTATACTTGAATGTTTTCCTTGTTCGGGGGTAGCCTAAAATCCCTTAACCACAGACATCTGGTAGCATCTCTATCATCCTCATGTAACCTGACCTGCAAGAATGCTTTCTCTACATCTGCTATCAGCGCGAATTGACCAATGCGGAAGCGAAGAAGAAGACCGTAAAGTTTCGGGAGAATTACTGGTCCCCGGTGGAGCATGTCATTTAAGGATGGACAATCACTGAAGTGCGCGGAGGCGTCGAAAACGATTCGAAGTTTGGTTGTTGTTTTGTGGGGTGTTAACACCATTTGATGCGGAATGTAGTGAATACGTCGGCCTAACGATTCTTCTTCTTGACTTACTTCTTCAATAATGTTCAAAGATAGCTGTTCTTGAAAAACCTTGTCATATCGCTGCAGCAGTTCCTCGTCCTTTTTAAGCGAATTCCAAAGACTGAGAAGCCTTTTGTATGCAATCGCTTTATTATCGGGCAGCTCCATGCTATTGGCCTTCCACGGTAATCTCACATAATAGCCATCCTCCCTCTTTTCTACCGTGTCGATGAAATTGCTCCACACTTGCTGGTCTATCTCTGAGCGAACGCTACTTTCTGCATTGGAAAATTCTTCACTCCCACTGGACTCCAAGGTACAGAATCTCGTGAATAATTCATCCTCTGTAAGTTCGGTATCATCCTTGAAATTTTGCACCATTACCGGATGTACCTGTGTGCTGACTGAGCTTACCGCTTCCCAATCTTCGATTGGATTTTTCCGTTGTTTCTGCTGCGATTGTCTCGTTGACTGTATTTGTCCACTCAGTAAGTGCCCTAGCCGAGTAGCAACAATGTGAAGTCCAGATGGTAGCTGGATATGCTGTTCTCTTTCGCACATTAATGGCCACAACTGATCACATCCTAAGAGAACTTGGGGGACTGTAGGGTTAGCGCCGTTCTGCTTCAGATTGACCTCAATGCCCGACGAGCTGATAAATTCCAGGTCCTCTTCTAGCAATGGAGGTGGTGAACATGCTCTTGTCAGAACCTCGCTTGTAAGTAATGTCAGCGTAAGGGGCTTTCCCTCGTTATCCCAAACCTCTAACAACACCTTACTGGTCCTTCGTTCCTGCACTTCCTCACTTCCGAAGGTTCGAAGGCGCAACGTAGTCTCTTCAATCGTTGGCAGTTCAAGTTCTTCTGCTAAAGCTTGCTCTATAAAGGAAAGTTCAGCACCCGTGTCCAGCAGTACAGAAACTTTTCTTAGCTCTCTTGTGGTCGGGTCCATGATGGTTAGCTCCCCAGTGGGTAGGTATACTTGCGCATTCAAGCTTTCTTGACTAGATTGTAATTCTAAAACTGAGGTCTCTTCTTGATCTAACTTCTCTTCCACGAAATGGTTTACTTTTTTGGTTGCTGCTAACCCGGGTACCCTTTTTCCAGCGTTGGCGACCACTCCTTTGCTATTGCGAGGTTCCTGTTGTGCTGACTGAGTTGCCTTTCGTTCCTCTTTTGTCGAGAACTTGAAACAGCAAGAGGTGTGGTGTGGTCCTTGGCACGTGAAACACATTCGTTTCTTGCATTCCTTCGTGGTATGCCTTGGGGAAGCGCAAATGAGACAGAGTTTGTGATCGCGCAAATATTGTGATCTCTCTTGTGCTGTCTTGTACTTTGTGCAAGCCACTGACTTGTGATCGCCAGCACAGTACATGCACGAGACACGCGAATTCAAGACCAACAGCTTCGGTTTTCTCTCCGAACGTGATTCTGAAGGTTGTACCGCTTTCTTGGTGTATAACGCCACTGTTTCTTCATTGGCTATTACTTCATCCAAAAGCCTGTATAACGTTTCCATGTCGAGAATCCTATCTCCTCTAGAGATTTGCTTCCTCTCTAATACTTTGCGCTGTACGTCGACAGTGAACTTGGTCAATACTTGCTTGACGAACCACTGGCTATCGACGTACTCACCTTTCATTTGGAGTTGTTCCGTAATGACTTGAAGTTGTTCTAGTAATATCCTTTGGTCCTTCATTGATTGAGATCGCATCGTCAAGGAGTCCATCCTATCAAGTAGACTGTTAATCAGCTCTTCGGAGCTGCCATATTTCTTCTTCAGAAATTCTACGGCCTTGTGGTAGTTTTCGGCTGTCACGTGGAATTTCTTTACTGCATTATACGCATTACCCTTCAAAGCCTGTAGAAGGTAGTTGAACTTGAAGAAGTCTGGTATAGCTTGCGAATGAACGTTAGCGTCGAAAAGAGACCAAAAATTGTCCCATTCCCAAATATTGCCGCTAAAGTTTGGGATAGGTAAAGTGGGAAGATCCACCTTGGCTGTTTTAACAGCTGGCTCCGGACGACTTCCGACCGAGTGATGCTGTGCGAGTATGTCGCCTTTCAAGGCCCGTAGTCTCGCCTGTAGCAGTACTGTGTAATCCATGGCATTACCCAGAATCAATTCCGCTTTAGCCGAATAGTCTTCGAAGTCTTTGGACTCCTTCTCCGAAGGTGCTTCTGTTTCCTCCATCAAAGAAGTATAGTCATGAAGAAGAGTTTCGATTTTGGATATGTAGGCCTCAAGCGCCCCTAATCCCTCCTCTAACCTTCTACGACTATTTGTAGCGAAGCATGGGGAAATTTCCTCCTCTTCCCACTTAACATTTTCAAGTTGCTCATTTTTGAAGCGAGTAATGAGCGTATCTATCTTGTTAAGATTTCTAGTGAGCATACGTTTGCAAGAAGCGAGCTGTAAAGCCATTTTTGCTGCTATGCTTTGCTGCGCTCACAAAACCTTTTTCTTTTCGCGCTATGTGCTGCTTGGTATTGACCACCAGAGTAAGTTCGCCCAAGCCCCACAAAGTACTTGTCAATTAGCCACAAGTTAATCCAGAACTTGAGTGAGTTAAACCGACCTGAGTTCGAAGTGAAGTCGATGCACCATTTACGAAATATACGACCCTTTTGCTTGACCCAAAATTGACCGGACCAAAGCCTATAGAGTTGCTCTTGCCACGCGGATTGTACCGACACGATGCGACCTCAAACTTGGGTAATTAAACCTTTACTAAGCCAAAACAACAAATAAACATGAACAAATACATGGAGAAACTCATTCCCAAAGTTGGAGGTCAAAAACCTCCGAATCTTCCCAATTTGGACTAATCCCAGCAACTAGAAAATACAATCAATCAGAGAATACTCAATCGCCCAAAAGAGAGTTTTTGCCACCCTCAAAATCTTCCCTTTTTGCCTATTCCCCCAGCTAGAAGAGAAAAAACTGGAGCACGCCCTCCATCAATCGCCCGAGTTTATATAGTGGCTTGATCTACGTTCCACGCATTCCAACTTAGAAAAGAAAATGCCGCCGGATCGCTGAATTACGTGCACACTGAAAAAAATTGCATAATGGATCGTCCATTAACGCATTCTTACTTTGCAAGCCTTCTGGGAAAGTGAACTATGACCCGGCGAAGACGTGCAAAACAGAAGCGGATATATGTAATCTCACTGACCATGAATCATCACACTTGCATAAATTGGTCGCTCTTTGCGACATAGTGCCTTACGTGGCGACAATTTGGACTGCGGAACTTGGCGAGTTCGCCTGCTAGGTAGTGTCTCTGCGCTCCTACCACTTTAAGGCCCATTCGGTGGCGTCAATCGAGCCGAACTTTGCGCTCTAGAGCCTATGGTTAAAGGAATCTTTCGCGGAAAATTCTTGCACTCTTTCTTAACATGAATATGTCAGTTGTGATCACTGGAAATAGCACACAAAGTTTCACGCATGAAGATTCGGTTTCTGAAGAGAAACAAACGTACAAAAACTACACGTTATGGACCATCGAAGGACCAGGAGGCAGAGCCAGGCGAGGCATGGAAAGAAGACGGCGTTTGGCCGGCTACGTACCAGGCGACGCAATGAGAGAATCGGGTTAAAGCGCGCGATTTCGGAGAGTGGAGACAAATCGATCGATGGAATAGGATGGAGTAGAAGTGTAAGATGTGAATGCAACGAAGCAGAAGGCCAGAAAGAGCTTCTAGTGAATGCACTCCAAGAACCAAGTTTGAGCATCCCCGTCGCCAGCATTCGTGAAAGACGTCCGTGGGCAATTCGAACGCGTAGCAGCCTTTTCGAGTTTTCGAATTTCTAATCAAAACGAAAGCAATACTTCAGTTCTTTTCACTATTATCGTGGATAATGAGTCTCAAGCCAGTGATTTATGGCTGAAATAGAATCATGATTTTTCCGCGCAAGATTCCTTTAAGCTTAGGCTTGGTTCAATGTGTGAAAGCAAATCAGAATGTCCTTTCTCGACCTGAGGAGGAGAGCTGCAACGCGCCCCCAGAGGGTTACTAATACCGAAAAAGGAATAGTTTGTTGAAACTGTTGTCACAACCTGAACGCGTTCATAATAAATTCGATCCTGACTTTACCCCAACCAGTCGTTGTTTCGCACTTCTATCATCGGTGCATAAGATAAGCTCCGCGCGACGGAGCCCTTCAGTTTGAAGCATCGCTTTGTCCCCCTGAAGGTACAGCACAGCCTTGAGGAGCGCCTTAGCGCTGAAAAAACATGCCTGGAAAAGAGGGCGGACAGAGGAGACTCCAAAGGTAGAACGAAAGAGCAAGCCGTAAATCACCGAAGTTTCCGGATGGAGATGGGCGTAGAGAACACTGTCCACTTGGGACATTCAAAATAGGACGAGGTGACACTGGGATTGAGTCCAGGGGCCGTATGCTATCCTCCCCGAAGGGGTTGGGGGACGAAAGTCCCTTTAAATTTTCTCTGTCTTCCCATCTGGGATTGCCCTGATAAAGGCCTACATTTAATGTATGTATGTAGGTAAAAGTAAACATGCACTGAAAATGAAGAAACTATATCGTTCAAAACAATAAAATTTTAACACATTGACGACATTGAGACGCGGTAACGCGTCTCACTTTGCGCACCTCGTTGGACATTGAGACGCGTTACCGCGTCTCACCCTTATCATCCCTTTTTCTAGGGCATGCGCAGCTTTTTCCCGAATTGTTTGTCTCTCTTCTATGGATTAGAACATAACATTATTGTGAACGACATAGGTCATTGTTTGTTCAAATATGCTCCAGTTTAGAAGAAGTTTTCCAAGCTCACCGAAACCGGCGGCTTGGTTCATTAATAGTTTTCATGCTATTCTCATGAACACGTCAATAAAAAAGGGTAGTGAAAGTAAATGCAAATCTAAAGAGACAGAAAAATACATGTTTCACTTGGTATAACCACATCAAAAGAGCTTTTGGCATCCACTACAGATAAAATGACTAAAGTTTCCTTTTTCATTACCATTACATGTTCTTTAATCGGAACTTCGTCACTATATACTCTATTACCTTCTACGCATTGACTGTTACTGAGATGTTTTTGTACCACTGGTGCTTTAAAAAGTTATCAATAAAAATTCACGGATCCGAGGTGCGGCGGTCGCACTCGCAAAATCGGCCCGGTCCCACACGGCCAAAAAAGCCAAAACGCGCGCGGTCGTCAATGTGTTAAGAACTTTGACACGTAGCTTTCGGGCGAAAATAGGCATAAACGGGCCAGGTAGAAGGGAGAACGTTTAGCAGGGAAGCAGTCTGCTCCACATACTCCCCAGAAGTCCTTTCCTTTCCTGAGGCTTGCATCCCAGGTGTGTAGGTGGCTCACCTCACTGTGAATGTCCTTACTCACCCTCTTCCCCCCCCCTCCGCTTCCCCCCACCAGCGACATGCAGCGCCTAGGAGTTTTTTATCCTGTAGTTAAATATTCAAGGAGCCTTGCCCCCCCCCCCCCCCCCCCATCACAAAAATCACAAACACATTGAAGGCAGGACAGTTACTTTGTACGTGAACGGCGCACCACAAACCCACCACGATAGGATTTGACGCATTTTTTCACCTACCGATGGTGATGATTGTGCCTCCATCTTCACGGAATTCGCCAGCTGCTTGCGTGGGGTCGTTGTATCCGCCGCTTCTTAACATATCTTTCACTAGAGAATGACTGTAATGCGATGCAGTTTGGATTTTTCCTGTACTACTTACTCGCTGGAGACGTATGGTATACCCAGAAATGATTGCTAAGGTCCACTGAAAGAAAGCTGCGCTCTCGGGTCTGAAACAGAGTGCGTGGCGCAGTCTTACGTGGTTTGTAGGGCCTGTCCTTGAGATTCACGTCTGCCATAAAGTGCTGTTGAAACTGCTTAGCACCTCAGGGTTATAGTGTAAAGATTGCACGGACGATGACTGCTTGTTGTTGACTAGAGTGTAAGGTGCAGATTGTTGACTGTTGTTGGCTAGGTGTAAGGTGCAGATTTCTAACCCGGACTTCTGCCTCAAATTTCTCTGCTGGCCTTGACGTGTAACGTTTAAGGGACATCATAACTCTTTACCAGTGTTCAAATTGAATTATGAAAAACCCATTGATAAGTAACCAACTTGTAAGAGCTTCCGACGATTATGAGAACGGGACGACGCGCCGGAGCACGATGTGATTCAGAGTAAAATTTCGAATTTGCCAGACGGATAGCCCTAGAATTGATGAAATTCTTAAGAAAAAAAAAACAGTTAGGCGCTATTCAATATCAAAACCCCAAACACCCCAAACTTTTATTTTTCGTCGAAACTTTGTCTATAGGGGTAATTCGGATGCCCTGATTACGAAAATGACATTCATTTTTCAGCGGTGGCGCCATCTGGCGCCAGTTGGCGTCACCTTGTCACGACACTTGTTTTCACCAAATTCGATGTAAACTTCTGTATGGGGTTATCTGGTGTCTTGATTGCGAACATGGCATTCGTTTCAGCATTAGCGCTGTCAGAGGAGGATTCTACGATAAGAACGAAGGTCGAAGAAGGGGAAAATTGCATAGTTGGGAGACAGGCGGACCTCCTGAGGGTGCTGACCGACGCGCAATTGGCAGCGAAAGATTTGACCTCGGCGATCTAGCATGGCTCACTCTTGGCGCGGTTGGCGGGGTACGCCCACCGACTATCACTCATCTATGCGTGAGTGATTAGATAGCAGAGAGAGCGTAGCGTTGAGAGGGCACAAAGATGAGAGTCGCATCAACGCGGAAATCAGCGGGCAAGGGGAGGGTCCGATTGCTGGCATCTCTGGGCTTGTTCGATTCCCTAGCGACTAGTAGCCAAGTCTGACATCGGTCTATGGTGTGGATGACTCACTTGACTCAAGCCACCATTCGTGGGGAACCACAAAAATCATTTAGAAGTTTCACAAGAATGCTGAGTTGTGAACAAAACTTTCGCTTTAGACAGGACACAAACCCATCTGGGGCAAAAGTTCTGTTCACAGGAGGCAAAACTTCCTACGCGCCTTAAACCCCTGAAGACTGCTATACCCAGGTAGCTGCATCAGCAAACGGCCAAAAGAAGCAATCAAACACAAGTCAAATAATTCAGAAGGTGACTATTTGCGAATTGCTGCCTTGTGGTGCAGTTGGCGACAGGGAATTCATCACAAGGGTTGCTAAATTATGTGCAAAACATATCGCTTCGGGAGTAACTTGAGCTCTGGCTTATGGATTCCGTGCCAGGAGCTTGTCAACTGTATTTCTTGCAGCTTACAAATTTTTAGGCGAGAGAATTTGTTTTTGGGAGGACAGACCTTTAGCAATTACCCTCTACGGGCTCCCACTGTTAGGAAGAAGGACGTGCTGCGGTCTACGTGTTAAGCCAGTAGCAGTTTGCTCGATGTTTCGGAATATTTACCAGAATAACCATTCGTTCTTATCGTGGAGCGTGGCTCTAAAGCGAACGGTTTATGGCGAAGATAGAATCATGCTGTTTCCGGGTGCAGTTACTCCTAAATGCATCGATTAAAGGAATGAATTTCTGTATTCTCATTCCACCACCGATGCTGCTGTGAGAAAGAATAGAGAATATACGCTGCGATTCGTTCATCTGCAGTCAACTATTTTAGAAACTCGAAAGTTGCGACTTCCCGAGTCTTTGGGAGACTTCTTCACGTTGGGCAACGGTTTCAAACGTTTCATTGAAGATTCATGGCCGCCGCTGCTTGAAATTTTTGCTACGTCTTTTGAGGTCAGTCTTTAACTACTAGTTCACTTGAAATTGCTTTATTTCACGATACGAAAAGAATGGAGGGCCATTTTCCTGATTGTTCTTCCGAAGCTCCACGTAACAGCCCTTCTTCACTGCACAGAAGAAAAAAGAAAGTCGTTGGTCTAAAAAATAATTGAGAGTCATTGAAGTGCAGTGAAGCAACGTTTATCTCAAAGAGAAGAACGCGAGTACAGGTCACTTGTGGCCCAGGGGGGACGGTCAAGAGTCCCCCGCGACCGCCGCGCCAAAAACTAGGTCACCGCGCGCGACGTGACCGGCGTTTTTGCTATTTGAATCATGGCAATTGGCCAAGATCAGGACCTCCTCTCTAGACGACGACGATATAACGCTTAATTGTTCCGTCTTGTGGTTCTCGTTCCTATATATTTGTTTTAGCTTAGTCCTGACAAATTGCCACGTTCCAAGCTGCAAGGATCGGTAGCCGCCGATCGGCGACCTACTTTCGTTTACGCAGCGTCATCAGGGGACTCTTGTCTCGCATCCCTGTACAGTAAGCTTTATCACAGCTGCATTTCATTCCCCCAAACCATCTCTACATCTTGCAAAAATAAGCGCTCTAATGCATTGTGCTTAGTATTTTTATCAATATCAAGAGAACAATATATTTGAGAAATGCTGAGCACTCTGTTTGTGGGTGCAATGCCTTTGTACTATGAACAGCTTCTGAAGCGGAGCGATCTCAATTTGAACATCGGAAATTTTGAAAACACTGCCTTATAAACATTTCAGTTCTGGATATTTTCTACATGGTAACCTTTGAACAGTTCTTTTTCTACGCACGAACGCTCGTATACGGTGTGATTTTGCGTAGCCTTATCCGACTGCGCAAGATTTGCTAGAACCACATGCTTTCGATTGATATAAGTGGAATTGTAAGAATTTTCACAATTGTCATTGACGCCTTGACGCATCCAGAATAAACAAAATTTTCCATGGCACGACAAATAACTATTACTTGATGAGTTGACTAATCACTTGGTTTTTATGTTGGAATTCGAGACAAACGAAAGGAAATCTTTCTCAGTACAACGGCGACGTGAAATAGGATAGGATTGCGCTGCTATCATTCTTTTCCAATCTGAAACTATTGGGTTGATGCATAATTATTGCGCATTTGTTCAACAAATTTTATTCAGCGAAAACGGAAAAAATATTTGACAAAAACATGTTTAAATGATTACCCCGGAGCGTAGTCACCATCCTTCAAGAATGCTTCCCATTTGCTTGGCAGTCGGTCGATTCCACGGTGAAGAAGTCACGATTCTTGGAGACGATCCACGCTCTAACATCGGCCACCAAGTCATCCAGCTCGTCGTAAATTTTGTTCGTTTGCCAGTTTTTCAACGACTGATTGAAGTGGTAGTCTGTAGGAGCTTCGGTCGTTAATGAACCTCTTAAACCATATTTCAACTTGGATTTTGCCATTGTCCCATCGCCGAAAAGATCGTTGAGATCGCGAAATGACCCTGCCGCCTTTCAACCTTTCTCGAAGTGGTAGAGCCGAATATGAAGATGATTTTCGATAAGCATTTCTGTTAATGAAAGAGAGAAGAATATTTCATGAAAAAATAATAAACAAAACGCCAATCTTTCGAAAAAAGAAGGCGCGAAAAAAATCCGCAATAATTATGCATCAACCCAATATTTGGGTGTGAGTCCCAAGAGGCCCGTCGCGCGGCGAAGGAAGAGACGCAGACGCGGCAAAGGACGAGTCGCAGCGCATACTGTAGCGGTTAGGCGTCAGGTTAAATAGAGTGTACCATACTACGTCTCATATCGCACAGCACGCGCTGCGACTCGTCCTTTGCCGCATCTGCGTCTCTTCCTTCGCCGCGCGACGGGCCTCTTAGGGACACCCTTTGGCCACTATCTCACAGAATTTCTCCTCCCTATATTTGGCAATTTGTATGTTTAGATCAGAATTTTCTGGGTTTTGCCATTAGCTCTTTCCTTGGAGGCAGTATCCCGGTCACATTGTTCCCGAAAAAAGAAGCCTTAGCCGTGGAGCTCCTCTTGAAGGACCAGATATCACTTCTGCAAACGTATATGAAGTGTAAGTCCAATGACAAGGCGTAATGTCATAGCGTTGTAGCATCTCTTCTCCAACTCGTGTTATCTCAGGGCAAGAACTCACAAGTAACTTTCAACCTTCAGTAGTGTGGTAGCAGCGGATGTGAGATAAAAACAACTCAGCGACTGAATCGCTGCATATTTTTCGATCTCAGAACGCTGAAATTATATGTTTGTTATGAAAAAATTCACCTCATCGTTAGTAGAACGATGACGTCATTTGGCGTCATCGGTCCCCCTCTCCCCTCCCCAGCGCCCTTCTACCATTCACGGCCAATGACGTCATCGAAAGTGCTCCACCCATCACATATCACACCCCGCAATCTTGCATGTTGAACATGAAGAACGACGCTAAGGGCAGGTAACACGGGTAGATGGTGCTAGGCCCTTATCCCAAGAAAATATCACGCTTACATTATCACACTTTGAAGAGGGAAATTCCACACGATGAGGCTTTGAGATTTTAGGTAGACAAGCGTGTACAGCTTGCTTGAACTCGTTTATCAAACGCTGTACGTCTAGAATGACAGTTTTGGTATGGTGGCTCTATCCAGCTGGACAGTACTTGGTCGAGTCGCATGGTTTCGTTTGGCAGATATAGTGGTGGTCGTTGTTGCAGTCGTCAGTAAACCATTCAGACCTGAAGAAGTTTAAAGGTTTCTCATAATTATTTAGGTGAACGCAGCTTGCACTGGGATTGTGAGAAAGCAGGAGCGTAATGTGCAGGTACTCGTGCGAACTGCAAGCCCCACGCCTATGTTCTCGCTTGGCTGACTAATTTCTCTGACAAATTTGCAAATTCTACACAAGCTCGGGTTAGGGGTTCCCGAAATCGAGGTAGAGTAGCTTGTAGTGAGTCAAAAAAATGGTATGGTAGCTCGAGTGTGTGATGGTTCCCTACTAAACAGTACGAAACCAACAGTAACGCATATCGCTCGGACTCACACATTGTCATAAAGGATAAAGGATAAAGCATTTGCCGTTGATCAATCCCTTTTTGGGATGCGGCACGCATTCTACTTCCATTTGTACATTCGTAGTGGCGTTTGAATGCGATGTGGCCTATACAATGACTTGCGGGGGCCAGCCGATGTACAAGTCAGTGTTTTTATCCTCCCAGACAAGTCTGGTACCAATTAACCGACCCCGGAGGGATGGAAGGCTTTGGTTGGCCCGGGCGACTCACGACCCAGGATTTGATGCCCAGACTGCTCAACTTTCCCCTACACCACTTCCGCCCCACACATTGTCATACTTCCTTCAATTTGAGTGTGTTAGATTCCAGCAAGAGAATTGTGGGATAAAGGAAGTAAAGAGTCTACTTACCTTGATCCGGGGTATATTTGCATGTAGGCACAATTACCCCTTCGATAATATGGTTGTCCCGGCGCCCATTTTGTGAATCCGGTCTAAAAAGATGCCTCACATACTGAAACTGCACAGCTTGGTTCAACAATTGCTCCGTCTTGAGACTGCATTTCTTTTACAGCACTTTTTCTACTAGGTCATTCAGGATAAGAATTTCGAGCTGAAGGCAATGATAACGATAGAACCGGGGTGGGTTTGGAGTACAAATAGGTGCTGAATGACGCAACAGTGGTGAAAAAAATGAGAAGCCCGTCAAGAACCCTCTAACTGGGATTTCCTCATTTGCCTTGAGATTTTTATCCATGTTCGGGCCAGCAACCAAGAAAGACGTCGTTTACCCGTGTTACTCTAGCCAACATCATGCCAACAATAGTCATGCCTCGAATGAAATCGCATTATTTTGGAAACTGAATGAGACCGCTTGAAAGGAAAAGTTCTTCCAAAGTGAAAATCGAACGACGCTGTTACTGGCCTAACACATGTAGAAGGAGCGATTTTGGAATGTTACGGTTTTTAGCTTTAGCTGTGCCGCAACTTGCTCACCATTAGCCGAAGAAACGCCCCACCTAGCTCTTATGTAGTTTGGCTGTTGCCTCCACGACGCACATATTCCTCCAACGCGCACCCTCCCTTTTCATCGTGATCACTGCCTTTAAAACGTTGGTGAGAGCGCGTGTTTTGGCCTTTTTTGGAGCATGGGACCGATGCAATTTGTCGAGGGCAACCCCCTCAGGTCATTGAAGCGCATGGCGAATATACAAAACACGGTTGTGCAAAATCAGATCATTAATTTTCAGTGAGTGAAGGCTTTACAGAGGAACAGCAGTGGAATTTCGATCGTAATTCGTGGAACAACAATGAAAAAGCAAAATTTGTCTTGGCTACAATGGGCCTCAGAAGCAATTTTGACTGTTCTAACCAACCACATATATTGTCATCTCTAAGGTTCCGTATCTACTTCTACTACTATTTAAATCTTCACATTCATAAAAAGAAAAAGTAAACGAAAAATTTATTAAACTGAAGATTTCGTATGGTTCAGAAATCCTCCTCTAAATTAAAGCATACGTGACCATTCTATGGGCCACTATGTTTGTAGCTATGCTAAGACTCTTTTATGGAATAGTAGCAAGAAACTTAAAAATGAATCATGCGTACGCGGTAAAAATTGGCAGGTCATGACGGACAGCGCGAGACATATGTGTCCTGCACCCAATGTGATTGTGACACATACGTCCCGCGCTGTTCCTTCATCACCTGCCAAGTGGCGCGTATATGTCCTGTGCTACCGTAAACGTTAAAGGAATCTTCCACGGACCATGGACCAGTGGGCGGGAC